TGCTGCTAAATCCCTACAATACAGTACAATGCGCAGAAGAAAGGCCAACCTAAAACAGGCGCGCTGTATCACTATATTAAAGATGCTTAATAAATTCCATCATAGGTGCTAGAGATCACACTCATAAAGTTTAATGATTTCAAACAAAGAACTGGAAACTTGCCTGACAATTTATCACGTGTCTTATCTATAAGCAGATGTTTACTGATGGTCTCAAGTCGTCGTCTGTTGGTAAATATAATTGCCGCTAACTTCAGTATTTGGTAGCAAACGGGGTCATTGGGTGTTTTGATAAGTAAGTCTTGTACAGTTGTGTTATTTTAATTGCCCACACACATTTCTGATTATTCGGATCGACCCACATTTACATCGTTTCTCAACTTAGTTACAGCTGAGCTGTATTGGAAAAAAAAATGACTGCTCCTATCGAGTATTTGGTTATCTGAAGATAAAGGTTGTTGACCTTATTAATATTATTTTGATGTTATGGTTCAATAATTCTTCCGAAGTCCATTACATTTATGTGAGTGCTTTATATTAATTTAGTTTTTATACCATATTACTCTTTTCCTAGATGCACGTGTGTGTATCTGTCGCAAATGTTATAAATATTTTGATTTGTTTATTTTTAGCCATCTGTGAATAAGCTTTTGTTGGTAATAATTTTAAGTAATTACGCAACGATATGATTTACGTTATATTATTGTTTTTATTTATTATTTTTTACTTTTTCTGTGCTATTTCTTTAACTAAAAATTTCAATCACATTTCCTTACAGTATTTTCAATTAACACATTGGAAAAGTGTCCTTTTGAAGTTAACAGTACGTTTAGCTTAGTCACGAAATTTCCCGTATTTTATGTAACCCTGAGGTACATTATCGTATTCACAATATCTTGAACCAAACTGATTCAAACCATACCCCTAATCCTTATCATAATTATTACGTCGACAGTGATTTTTAATTATACAGCGTAACAGAAATTTATTTCGCTAAGTAATTATGAGAATTTGTGTATCGGGAAGAGATTTCGTATTGATAATATTCACTGTTTAAATTTAAAAAAAAAAATGTCTTATCTATCAACCCTTTGAAGGAAAAGCTCGTTAAATATTTAACAACTTATTCCGTACAGCAAAGCAAACACAGGTCACTTTTAGTTTAAGGACTAATTTATTGGTTTTTTAAGGACATAATCCCTTTTTGCACTGAGTCGTTACAAAATGCACAGTTACTGATCTGATGCAGATGTTTAATATTATTTCCACTTTTATTTTAAGGGTTGATTAAGATTAGATATTTTAATGTAATTCGGGTAATTATTATTTTTTATTTGTTGCCTCGTTATTACGTGTTCTGACTCCTGTCTTGTGTTCATGTCGTCGGACCTTCAGGCATTCTGTCCTATGGCACGGATATTTAAAATGTCTAAGGACATAGTCCGCTCTAGTGTAGATTCAAGGTCATGAATCCGTTACTACAGAAGTTAACTGTCTGTTCGTCTAACTTCTATGTTTGTTTGTATATTTGGACCGGACTGATTGGGTGAAATCTTAAATATTATTTAGACTAGCTTCGGGTTTACAGGATATGTACTTGAACATCTGTTCGTATTAGTGGCGTACTTAGGCGTAAGAAATGTGGCATATTTATTTAATTATTTCCAAGTACTAGAAGCAAACAACCAGTTGTGAACCACAAATCTTTTCGCGTGAGACAGTGAGTGCCTTGCAGCTGGAAACTCTTGACATGACACTAAATACAGATAATGAAATGACCTCTGGCTTGCCTTTTTCTTCATGAAACCGGGCCACATCCGTCTTTTAACCAAAAGAATAACATCTGATGGTAGGATGATGAAGTGAATGATAATTTGAAAATAATCTGTAAGGAAGTGATCTTTATTTATCGTTTGTGAGCAACGCACGTGTCAACTGAATGCAGTCATATCACATAATGTACATAGTATTACGTCACGGATTGTTGGGCTGAATCAATAACAACATTACATTCAGATTGGATGTCTTAAATCACCAATAGAAGCCACATCGAACACGAATGAACAAATACTTTAATGTTTGAACACTTTTATAGCGTAATTAGTTCCCCAATATACGTTCTGGATAAAATGTTACACGCCTTCTAAATTATACCTTAGTTTGTGATCACCCTGTATTACACTGATGGTTACTTTATGTTATTACATGTGCATATAGCCCATTATAGCCACGGTGGTCTAGCGGTTAGAACGCTGGCCTTGTAATCCTGGAGTCTCGGTTTAGATTCCCGGCGGTGCCCGAATTTATAACTTGTGTTGGGCAAGGCCGTGGTCTAGGCAACACGGAGTTTTCCTCCGTGGCATCCCAACAATTACTCCATTCACACACAGAAGAAGGCAATGGCAAACCACTGCTGGATCATCTGCCAAGAACGTATATGAACAGGGCCCAGTCCGAGAAAAAGAGGGTGGTGGTCTAGGCAACACGGAGTTTTTCTCCGTGGCATCCCAACAATTACTTCGTTCACACACAGAAGAAGGCAATGGCAAACCACTTCTGGATCATCTGCCAAGAACGTATATGAACAGGTCCCAGTCCGAGAAAAGGATGGAAGGATCCTGTTCATATGGACCTGTCGTCAGACAGAACACTAAATAAATAAATAAATAATAATAAATAGCCTATTGTGAACTTTGACCTTTCTGAAGAATTTTCAATGAGGTTTTGAATAATTTTTTTAATTGAAATGCTTCCGTAAATGGGGAATTAGCCCAATGTAAGACTTCTACATACATAGAATATAACACAGGAAAACGCGGATTAACATCGATGCCTTTACTGGGGTTCGAACCCACAACCACAGTTACCGCGCGGTCATTACGACAGTCACGAGTCGCTTTCTTATAATTTTAAACTCGTGTCTGTCTGTTATTGGACATCTGGATGAAAGCCATCATGTCAACAGATGACGTAAGTGATGACGTGGTTTGGGTAACCGCAATTTTAAATCCTGTACTTAACCAGCTATTTTTGGTTTTTATTTATTTTTGGAAAATCTCCCACAAGCAAATTTTCGGTCAAAATAGACAACTACATCTTCTTAAACCAGCACTTTTAAATGTCAAATGCTACAGAATTTGAATGAAGTGGTTCATTAAAAAGCAAAGAATTTATAGTTATCTGACAGCGTATCGATATGTAATTTTCGAAACGATACAGTTATAAAGTTTTAAATGTAAAGTAAAAGTATTGTTTTTAGAAAACTGAAACAGGAGAGGTATAACTATAGATCATCTGTAAAACATTAACCGTTTATTAGCATGGGATTTATTTATGTATCTTTATATATTTATGAAAATCATCTGTTTCCACAGGCATTGTTGATTTTTTTATATTTGAGATTATATTTACATCTAATAGCATCAACGAAGGTTTAAATTCACTTTTCAACATATATAACGTAACGTAATAGATTCTGATGACAACTGCATTTAGACGAAAGATGTCATAATTAATGTTATTTTATATAAAACTAGCAATAAATTTTTTTTTTGAAGTTTCTGTTATTTTTATCCTGGCTAAAGACGTAATATAGTGGGTTATATGACATTTTTTTTTCCCTGAAAAATTCGCCCTTCATAACCACAATGAACCTGAAACAAGTTTCAGATGTAGTGATTTCGTGTTTAGAGATACTCAGGTCTCGTGTTATATAACGGTATGAGAATTGTACTAATCGACTTGATGCAATTATGGGTTCGATTAGTATCGGTGGTAATGCCGTGCTGACTCAGAGTAAAGCAAGGATAAGAGCCCGTTATTTAATGACATACTTCTTTGCCAATGTACCGATGAAGAGAAAGGCGACTGTGTGAATAACACGCATACAATGGGAAATTTATATTTTCTTTTCATCTGCAATTGAAATCTGCAAGTATTTTGCAGTGGATTTTTATTATTTTTTTTTAAAGCCTAATGGTAATTATATATACCACCTTTCTTCTTTATTTTGTATGTATGGGTTTCGTATGATTCTCAGTGTAAACAGAGATCATTTACCTAAATAACATTAACTAGTTTATCTTTGTAATTTTGAAGTGTAGTGTTTTCTTCGCGGTACGGGCTGAATTCTTAAAACTTATTCAGACCAACTTTGGCTTCGAACGGTATTGAAGATAAACGGATTGAACATGATCTCATTCTAGATATTCAAAAGGCTTTCTGTTTGTTTGTTTGTTTGTTTTTTCCCCCTATATCGGAATAATTTATTTATTCTGTACGTAGACTGTACGCAGTGAAACTTGGATACTGTATTCACAGCTCAGGTTTTTTCGATGTCTGGTAATCTTGAGATAACAAACCACTTGGAATTCGCTTATGCATCACTTAAGACACTTCACTTCAGGGGTGAACAAACTTTTAATTCTGCCCACTCTGAGGACACCCATAATCTATATATAAATATATCTTTATTATTTTCCATGGATCCATAAGTTGGTCTGATGACAGTAGGATATGGAATAAGTTATAATAATACAATACATAAGTAAAATTAATATTTTGTATAGATTTTACGTAATGTTTTCACGGTGAAAGAGCGAGTTTTCACATTACACATTTATAAACATTCAAAAATGCATGGAATCGAATTTAATATGGTTTTAATTTATACGTGAACGTAATTTTAATGTTATATTGTCATACCGTGTATCGGATCTTGGACATATTTTCGAAGCATTTATTTAACTATGTGAGATTTGAGGTTTTCATGGTCGTGACGATGTTTAATGATGTTCTTTTGGGTTCTGGAGATGTGTGTTGGACTGATGGGTTTTCTATGAGACATGAGAAACTGACATTGGATAAAATTAATCGGTTATGTACTTGTTTTATTTATGTTAAATATGTCTTCGTGCGTCAGCTATATCAAAATGTGATATGTTTTCTGTGGTCATCATAACGTCTTTCTTCAATGGAAATGAAGAGTTTCTTTGTTTCAGACTGTCTGATGGATGTTTTAACGTGGACTTATCCGCACGCGCGTCATCCGAAATCTATTTTTGTGGTTCTTGAATTCAGCGTTCACGAATGCGTGTTTCAGCCAGAATAGTTTTTTTTTGGTAAGAAAGACGAATTTTAAATTAACCCACAAAGTTATCGAATAAAATAATAATGTTCCCATTGTGTATAACGTATTGCATATCCAATAAATACAAACTGGAAAACGCATAATATTTTATTTTAATTACGTTATTGTTACGTGCTAACAGTAAAACAATTATGGAGCCAGTGGCTTCTCAGTCGGGGAATCCCTGCTCGGGGATTCCCCACATTCACTTCCGTACGCAGACACCCGTGTAGGTCTTTATGGGACTAGATCGAATGCTCACACCACAGTCATGATATAAGTTTTTTTTTTTGTTTTATTATGCGTGATTAAATGAGGTTATGTTTTGTGATTTCCTAAAATGTACACAAACTGAATGTAACGTTACAAAATATGAGTGTTGAAAGTTTTGATTCTGATTTTTATTACAGATTTTGACTTTGCTCTCACGTCCGATGGATGAGAATTAAGACAGTAGAAAAATTTTACATTTGACCGTGTAGTCACGTGAGACAAACCACTAAACGAAGAACCATTTATTATATTTAATAATATACGGCGGTGAGTCTGAAGATGGCTGTCTTCTGGGTTGTTGCCCCGTGTAGTTTGGTAGAAGTTTACAGACATTTTGGGAGATGTTTGCTGCCTCCATCATCAGGTCGCGTGTGAGGAATGTGACAGGCATTCAAGTAGTTTTAGGTTATGTCAGACCGATTCTGAAACAGTGATTTGAATTACGTAGTATGACTATTTGTTAATGGCTCCCGGACAGCTTATAACATCGATTTAGATGATATTGAAACATCGCTTGTCGAGCAGTTCACGTGCGGGAGTGATCGAGTCATAAGTATTTTCCTGTTCCAGTTACTAATAGTGAACAGTTTGCACATATAGATAATTCTCCTCTCTCCTATTTCCCCTACAAGCCACTGGAAACGAGAGACATCACGGCTTGCATTCGTTTAGTAGACGGAACGCGCGTTGGTTGTGTTTTGTTTTGTCTTGTATGAGAACCGCAAGGCGTTTTACTTGTATGAGCTGATGTCTGGCGTTAGACAACTGATTGGAGTGTGAGAGGAGATAGTTAAAGTATTTATATGGCTTTCTTCGTTCAATTGTGATGACAGTGTTAATTACGCGTTAATTATAAACTTTTCTGTTGTCATCAAGAAGACTGAAATTTTAATACTGGCCGTATGCAAGTTGGATATCACGATTAAAGTAAGAAGAAGAATAGAAGGTAATATTTATTGTTACAGTGTGTACAGATACTTTTCGTGTTCCTTACATTTGCCTCTTTGTCAGATTGTTAAAAGGGTTATGTAAACTCTGCTGAGTTTAAATGGCGTTTTGTCATTTCGTAATGAAATGCTTTGCGGAAGTATGGAAGGATATATTTGTGTTTTTAAGTTCGTGTTTTGTTTTGTATTTACAACCGAATTTGCATAAAGTTAAGTACCTAATGCAACAGGTGGAGAGGTGGAAAGGTTCTTTAGTTCCACTTCTTGTCACAGCCGGCGCGAGAGTATTTTTAGTTCCACTTCTTGTCACAGCCGGCGCAGAAATCGCGAACCTTTTACTTTCAGACATGAATGTTGTGCACAGCTATTAAATAAAAATTCTTCGTGTTCAATTACAGGTTTGGTTTGCTGATAGTGTTTTTTTGCAGTTTACAGAGTGTGTGCTAAAATAAATGTCATTATAAGTGTTAAAGCAGACAAAAACGTGACACAGTAATTGATATTTAGATTTTATGTCACTGAGACTGATAAATAATCAACATAATTGGGAAGATATATTGTACAGAAGTGATTAATAATTCTGCTGAGAGATTTGAGGTTATCACAGAGGTGGGTATGTCCATGTTGTTCTGGGTTGTAACGCGATGTAGACTCGCACGTACTCGTATGTTTCGGATAAACATATTGTCTCCCATCTTCAGGGCAGGGTTAATTTTGTTTTAAGCTGGTATAGTGTGACTTAAAAAGGACTTATTGTGTTTTAACCCTTTGCGGCCCCTTTTAAATACTACTAAGCTGTATAAATTCAACTACTGTTATGAACTGGTTTGAATGCTGACCGTGTGAAATATTTTTCACGGACTGTACCACTGTCGCTAGTGAGAAGCCAAGTCGGTAGATATGATTTTGGCAACGTCTAAACATCTCTTATTGCATGCAGATAAACGATGTATAAGCATTGGATTTAATATTCTCAGAGCTATGCTCCCTTTCCCGCGAATTGTTTTTGAAAGTTCGAGACCAAGTTCAACACCAGGAAAGTGAAACAGTACGCGAATTGTAAACGATGAAGTCACCACACATAAAGAATGCTTGATAAGAAAACGAATGAATATGCATATGTCAGTGGTGGATTGCTGTATGCGTTAAAAAAATAATTTAAAAAAATATAATTTCCTACTAGGAACCCAGTTTGAAAAACATTGCTTCCAGATATTTTGTATGAACTAGCTTTACCTAACTTGTAATACGTGTGAAGTCGTCTTCTGCCTTAAAACACTCTTTTTTAGGTTTACTGATAAGGATTAGGGTTATGTAACTGTCCACAGAGAGTAGTTTCGTTTTACAGTTGGGTGGATTCAGTATTTATCACGTACCGAAACTTAATGGGTCAGGCATAGGATATTGACTTGCTGTATTTAATGAGTACCACAGAGTAAGTAGGCTTACTGTTTCATTCTACCATAAAAACGGGAGACAGAACCAGCTTCTGAAACGTCTGATACATTTTTTTGTTTTATAACAAGACTATCTGTAAAGACATTGGTTAATAAGTTAGATAGTTGTCTCACGCGTGATACGAGAACCAGTCTGGTTTCCTGCCAGTTGGGGTTATTTTTCGATGTGTAACATTGGACTGATAAGGCACTAATAGGGATGACGTGAATCCTGGTTTTCCGAACATAACCTTACTTTCATTAATTTAAAATCGTAATGCACCGCATTATTTAAGTAACTTCGTTTAATTATAGTTCCCTGTACACCAGCAGAAAACTTGTTTCATTGTCTCCTACGTAATATTAGAACATGAGAAGCTTTTGTTTTGTGATTTTTTTTTTTGGGGGGGGGGAGGTGAGAAATGTTGGCAGAATTGTCGGAAATGAAAATGGCCGCTTGGGAGACGAACGCGTAGATTACGGGAATAATATTAAATGGATCTAAGTGAATAGGGTTTGGAAGTGTGAATTGGATTCGTCTTTATCAGGATATTGACCAATGGCAGGCTCTTTTCAATATAATTCCTTTTTTCTTTCTTAAAAGGTGCGGATATTAGTGTTCATTTATTTTAGACACAGATGCAGTGTTGCAAATCTGACCGATATTGCATACAATAATGGACTTACATTCATTTGCTTGTATTCTATAAAATATTATCCATGTATAAGAACGTGACTGAAGTTTAAGAATTTTTGAGGTCTCTGTTTTGCGTTTTATTCAAAAATTTTTTTTTGCAAGGTGAGACAGTTTTGAGAATGTTTTAAAACTCATTTTTAGCATCGTGTAAAGTGACCGTTTGTTCAGCATGGACGAAAGTTTAATTTTCTCGCTAACTTTGGAGGTATGAGAATGCATACAAAAAATTTTAATCACGAAACTTAAAGAGAAAAGACAATTTGTAAAACCTAGTCATAGATGGCAGGATAATATTAAAGAAGTATAAAAATGTGTTGTGAAGGTGTGGACCGTTGTCAAATAAATCAGTAATAAATTAAACAGTCTTCATATTATATAATTTGCATATGTATGATAAATTGAAAAAAGTAGGGGGAAGAATTCGTCATGTTGTATTTTAAGGATACTGACATTTGAGCGAGAAGGACTGAGGAAAATCATGAAAATTTCAATCAGAATATCTGGTGTCTGAAACAAAATCAGTGGAAGTTTCAGCTGCAACATTCACTTTCAGTGTTTAGAATAGATTATCTTCATGTTTGTTGACTCGTCGTCGAGTTGTGTTAGCACAGTAAGCATAATTGTTCTTTTAGCGTGTGTTTAATTATTATTCATTTGTTCTGGTTAATAATAGAACAGTTACTGATATTCGTGACCTTCAGTGAATGGGCAGTTTGATTTTTATTTATTTTTGTATGGAATCCATGAAATAAATGTCTAATGTCTGTCTGTCTGTGCCCACATGTTTCGTCTTTGAAAGAGTTGGATGGATTTAAATTAAATTTGGTATGGGTGTCCACCATGTTGGGGAACTTAAAATTTTTATATACGTTCGTTAGCTGTAACATCTACTGCATATGACATTTTAATCGAATTCATCAAATTAAAATCATACAGAAGTTGGTATGCCTGCATGGATTTAATTAAGATCTGCGGTTTGTATTTAAAACATTTTTCTCGAGGATAAGTACTCGAGCGTTTTTATTTACCACCAAAGAATTAATATCAAACCCATTTAAGTATTCGAAATTGTATAGATCACATTGGAAAGATATTTATGTTCTGTACGCAATTTTACTTTAATTTTCTGATTAAAGATTACGATTCATACAATGTGGTATTCAAAATGACCTTGGCTTGATCCAACCAGTCGCTAATAATATTACTAATAAAAGGGTAATATTAAAACATTTATTCATATAATAGCAACTAGTCTCAGTTTCGGCTTCTGTTCTGGCTACAGGGGGCCGTGTTTCTTTTAAAGGCAGTCTAAAGCGGCCCATCCATGTACGAGTCTGACTTGCGAGTCTGGCTCGGCGAGCTTGACTTGCGAGTCTGGCTCGGCGAGATTGACTCGTGAGCCTGTGACACCCCACCCACAAACGAGTTTGGCTCGATGGAACCCGAGCCGAGCCGAGCCGGACTCGTACGTGGATAGGCCCCGTAAGTGCAGTGTAATAGACAAAGTGGCACTAGGCATTTTCTTATAAGTATCTTTCCACTGCTGATTTGTATTCTCTCATTTATCACCCAGATGATGGGCAACTGGCCTCTTAGTAGCTGTAGTTCTACAGCCCCGTCGCTAATTAAGAAAAAGGTGATAAATATTTGAATGTCAATATGACTTTCGTAGGCTAAGTGAAAATTAATGGTCTGTTTTTAGTGTTACATTTGTAACATTTGTTTCTGTAATGTAAAAAGTATATATTTAAAACCGTTTGAAGCGTAAATTTTGCCGAAATAATATTTAAACGTTCCATTATTTTTTTAAAAGAAAACTAAACTCGTCACCAAAGAACAATCAATTTGTTAATGTTGTTTAGTAAAATAATCGCTGTTTATTCTGAGAATTCATACGTAACATGTAAATACACTACATGGGCAAAATAAAGAATTATTGAATATTTAAGCAGGTGGTACAGATAATTACCACCGTGTTTTTAAAGAGTTAACCAAGATACCTATTGATAAAAGCATTCATTGAAGATGACACACTTCTGGGATGTTCTGTGTCATCTGGTATATACTGACTGACATCTCAGATGTACTTACTGCCTCCATCATCAGGATGATCACAGCGCAGCATCCCAGAACATAACCATCTTCATAATTGTCACCATGAGAATGTGAAAATCTCAAAGAGCTTTCTTTCTTTCTCTTTCTTTCTTTTCTTTCTTCTTTCTTTCTTTCTTTCTTTCTTTCTTTCTTTCTTTCTTTCTTTCTTTCTTTCTTTCTTTACAGATCATCAGTATGGGAGAAGCAGACAAGAAAGGTCGAAAACTGGTGGCACCAGATGGCGGGTGGGGATGGGTGGCTGTTATCGGTGTCATGTTGGTTAATGTAAGTGATCGAATTTGTGATAATTTGTCTCACCTAACAGAAATAAAATCTTATCTGTTGTAGATTGTCTCGAAAAATTTATGTCCAAAGAACGTGTGATCCCGGAAAAGCCACTTAAAGATTCAAACCAGTTTAAACAATTACGGAGATGTGAAAAATCTTTACGCAAATAAAATACTTGTATGACGTGACATGAAATGGGAAGTGATAATTCACTTAAAGTCAGATCATTTATTCATGTGTTGACGACAGCTAAACCAAGTTCAGTTACAGCCAAGTATGATAAAAATTTAATGTGATAAAATCTATTAGATGTTGTAAGTGATGAAGAAATGATATTAGGATTTTAGGTTCTCGTGGCAGTAACTACAAAAATTTCAATCTTCTGGGTCGTAGTACCTTGTAGTCAGTCTAGCTGATATATTTTTTTTAAATGTTCTTTCCATGGATGACAAACACCTGCTGGAATGTGAAGTTTATCACGTACGTCGAGATGCAGAATTTAAGAATGTGTAAATTATTACAAAAAAATAGTAATATTATTTTCAGTTTTGTCATCGTTTTACCAAATTATCGCATGTGAGTTTCATGCTGTGATATCTGACGTAATTACATATCCAGTTTCGTATTCAGGACATGTCGTGTATGATTTTAAACCAACAGGATAGTTATTCTTAAATTCTTTGGTACTTGTGGGTTATCGGGACACAAAATTAGGGACTCAAATATAATAATTTGTCATTTATTGAAATAAAATATAATAACTTTCAAGTATACTTATATCATTTATCCACACACACATTAACCTAACCTAACCTAACCTAACCTATTTTTAAAGCGATGTGTCACGATAACGCACAAGTACTAATTCTTTAATGTTTTCCTGAGTCAAATATTGGGATAGTAAGCGTTACCACATTCCTGAATAAATAGAAAAAAAAATATTTGGATCTTTTAAATTTAATTTGAGTACGAATCGTATTAGACTTGAGTTTTCTGTACATTTTATATTTTCTAGTTGAAATGTTATTCAGTATTCGTAGTAATATTTTACAGCTCTCTACCCGTTCTATTGAGCCGTCGTTTGGGCTGCTGTTTGGAGATAAACTTCGAGACATGGGTGTGACAACTATGGGAGCGTCCGCCATCATGAGTACTCTAGACGCAACTATCAACTTCTCTGGTATGTCACGTGTCAGACCACAGTTTCTAGCGTAACGTGAATTATAATCTGACGTCAGCATGTCATGTAAATTGAGTGGTAAACTTCATGATGGCCGTCTTTACCTGCTAAAGGTTCTGAATTTAGTTTTATTCTGTAGCGTCCTCGATGTGCTCCATAGTCATCATAAAAATGTCTGTGGAAACCAAACTGTCGCTGCCCGTATATGGGATCGAACCCACAGCTTTCAATTTTAGAAATAGTTACCATAGCAACTGAGTCGTCGTGGATATTTTACAATGTATAAAATTACACTGTACCTATTCTAAAGTTATCTGAGTTAAAAGAGTTTAAAAATGTATTTCCTTTTATAAAATTCGAGATGTTTACTGATATGTGTAACCCATAACCTATATATTTTGTTAACCTTTATCGCGTACGATATTTATATTTATATAAGCTGAAATATTTTAATAATTTAAATGACAGGCTACAGACTGAATCATCACTGTTTGATTTTCACACCAGAGATGAGATGTTTTATACCACACCCAGAAAAACTCTTGAGGTCAATTCGGCATCTTACCCAAATGAATACTGAGGACATTTGTCCTCAGAGTTACGTGTCCTGACTGAGAAGCTGACTACTCGCTCGAATTTACCGCCAAAGAATATGTGCAGTGCTACCACCACTCGTATATGCCTTCACGGTGTAATGCTCAAGAAGATGGATGTATAATTTTACTTATTTAGTTGTTCAGTAAGATTTGAGGTTTTTACGACAGTAAGTCCATCTTGTGGGTTGAGCCATGTAGTCTCGTAGAAGTTTACCAGCGTTTCAGAGATCCTCGCTGACTTCATAATCATCGCGATGAGTGACTCATCGCCCCGATGATGTTGGCAGCTACGATCTCTGAAACGCAGGCAAACTTCTACCAAACTACACCTCGCGACAACCCAGAAGGCAGACATGTTTAATCAGTCTATTTTAATTACGTGTTTTCAGGTTTATTTGTGGGCCCACTCATCCGGAAGTATTCATACCGCAAAGTGGCTCTACTTGGGTCTGTATTGAGTGCCCTGGGATTAATAACAACTTTCCCTGCAGATAGCATGACGCACATACTTTCGACGTACAGTATTATGGGAGGTACGTAATCAGAGACGTCAGGTATAAAGCTGTGTTTGCATTAATTGAATAATAAAATATAAATATTCAATAAATATGCATTGTTTTTTTCAGAAAAATTGTCCCTAAATAATGTACATAATTTTGGAATTGTATGTTGCCATGTTTCATCAGTTTTAAGATACTATTGATTGTAAACTGCATCCTTGATTTGTTAATACGTTTTCAGGAAAAGCCGTCAAATGTAAGATTCACCCTGATTTCTGAAAATTTAAAATGAGAAAGTTCATATTGAAATTAAGGAAATATGGTATATTCATTTGTAAAATTTTTCAAAACTTGGCATAGGAATAGTAGTGCAACATTTATGTCTGTTCCTGAATATAGCAGCGTAATACACAATTTTTTCTCTCAGAGTCCAAAACTCTCTCTGATATTGATGAATTATCTGCTTTGTTATCATTTCTCATACTGTAAGCTGTGTATTTGTAAGTACCATTTCCTTTCTTTCATCAAGTGTCGATAAAAACTTATAATGGCCGTAAATTCGAACAGTTAAAGATGATTGGTATATCATTAAAGTCAATCAATCTCAATTGAACTGCTGTTATATCCAATATGGTTCTGAGGCCCATGAGTGGTATGCAACATTAAATGTAAGAAAATAAATATTCCATTTGAAATGGGAAAAATTTGGAAGTTTCATCCAACTTTGACAGTACTTTAAATCAGTTTATCTCGACTTAATTATGATTATCTTATCATTTTGAGTTTATTATTCATTTATCCTTCATTTAATACTGTATAGTCTGAGCTACTTTTAATGTTACTAGACAAACAAATAAATAAAGACGCAGATAGCGTACTGAGATTTTAAATACAATATAAATTGTCAATAGCCTTCTTAAATAACATTTTTACAGTTATAGTACTTAAATGAAGATGCAATTTTAGGTTAGGTATAATATTGTAGACGCAAGACTCTAGAAATCCATACAAAATTACATTTGTAACATGATAGAGACAAATTTGAGAACCGTCATAAAATATAATTAATGTATTCATCTTTAAGATTACCGTCTTCTAGAATGTTACACCGCGTAGTCTGGTAGAAGTTTACCAACGTTTCAGAAGTGCTTCCTGCCCGTCATCGATAATCTTCTACAAGACTACGCGGTGTAACGTCCAAGAAGGCAGTTATTTTTTATGAGAACACAAAATTTTCACCCATTTTATTTTGCTTCAGGTTTGGGAGTTGGTTTCGCATGGTCGTCTACTTTCGTAGCGCTGAATCATTACTTCAGCAAGAAACGCGGCCAGGCCATCGGCATGTCCATGGTTGGTACTGCGCTGGGTATGATGGCAATGCCGCAAGCCGTGCAGCTGTTGCTAGAAGCGTACAACTTCCATGGATCCGTGCTCATCCTCGGAGGTTTTGCTCTCCATTCCCTTGTCGGTTCCATGCTCTTGCAGCCTGTGAAGTGGCATCTTCGGCCGGAGGAACCAAAGAAGACCGAGGAAAATGAGCAGCTGGAAAATAAAGTTGGAAAACAGGTATACTTAAAGGTTTATAAAGCCATCTAATTATTCTTCTATGGCTGTCCGGTCCTTATTCGGTCCATGGCCTCCTCAATTCTCCTCTTCTGTTTGATCCTCTCCTCCGCTGCCTTCTTCCAATTTCTAATCCTCAGGAGCAGTGTGGCATCCGTTGGAACTACTACTATGGCGTAACAGCCCAAAATCGAGCCCTAGCCTCCTCCATTCGTTGGAACTGCATCCTCCCATCTGTTACTGGGTCTTCTTCCTCCAACAACCTATCTAATTACAAAACTTTAATTTTAAGTTTGAAGGTTTGTGTTATGGTGTGGTACCTCGCGTTAAGTTGTTAATTTGGTCTTGACCATTGTCGAAGTGTTATTAAACCAAGAACATCTTGGAAGTTGGTTCTAGATGTCAAGCGAGGAGTTGTGATTGTGGTCGTGCGAGATGGACCCGTCCGAAGCAGCTTCAGTTGGTTTGTAGCTCTGGCTGTGTTTAGATAGGTGCATCTCCGCAGCCGAGTCTGTGAACTCCCCTCTGTCGGCTTACGCGTCGCGCATTTAGGTGCCACGACTACCATCTCTCCTGATATGTAAAGGGTTAACGTAATTAAGTCTGAACGTCTGACGAAATATTATCTGATATTATAATTTGATTGTCACAGGAAAATGAATCTGAGGCACAGTCCCCACTGCTAGAGAAACCTAAGATTGCGGTCACTACGGCCTCTGCGCACGATGATATAGAGAAACAGGAGCCTATTGCCACAAAACGCTCTCAACAGATGCTCCGCATCGTATCCACCGGAAGTATGTCAGCTCACAAGCGCAAGGTTTCAGTCATATCCAATATCTCCAGCATGGACTTTACCGGCAGCACTTGTCATGTTCATACGGTAAGAAATATAATTTATTACAGATTTGATTGGGTGATACGTTATGTGATCGTTGCAGTTTCATATTTTGTAGATATAAACTGTTATTCCTGAAGAATTCTACAATAACACACGGAGTCATATTTGTGAGTCATTTTCACTGTAGCCTCTTACGTCAGGCAACCGTCCAATTGACCTGATAACGTCCTGACGAAAATGACTTTTTGAACAAAAATGTTGTTCCTTCTGTTTGTGACGGTACGTCAATGCATCTCCCCTCCAGCTCTGAGATAATATTACAAAAAACCCCAAAAGTGACTGCGACATCCAGCAGTTACCTAGACGTGCCGGAAAACTTTGTTTATCCACGGTTACAAAAACTTCTTCCAGAAAGACACACCATGCATTTGAGCTTGATTATTTGTCTCTCTCTTAATTCTTCTTCTACTATGGCTCTGGTCCGTATTCGGTCCATGGCCTCCTCAATTCTCCTCTTCCATTCGGTCCTCTGTTAGGTCCGTCTGTCCGAGGCTTCGATTGAGGTTTCGAAACATCTTCCTTTTTACGGTGCAAGGTTGTTAGCCTTGCAACTAACCCCCAACCTGGAGGACCAGGGTACCTGTCTTAGTCTGACCTCTCCCCCTCGACCAATCTCGCTAGGGAGGCCCTACCAGTAGCTCTTGGGGTCACTGAGGTACTCAAGCCCCACCACCACAACAAGGTGCAGGTACCACTAATTGGTGGTGCATTCTCATATTCCACCATATTTTTATTTCTGTCATCGATATTTTTATCAGTAACAATTTTCACGTTGCTTACAGCATGTGGAAAGTGACGACGAAGACGGCCATCACGGCGGTATCTTTATGAAGAATCTTCGAAAGAAGAAGAGAACATCCGCGGGCAAAGACGTCAAAAAGAACTCGACGTCGGAAAAGGACGTCAAAAGGCAATCGGAGGTGTCGACACCACCCAGTCACAATTCGTACTGGAAACGTGTCGTACATTTTATGGACCTGGACTTACTGAAAGATCTGATCTACCTCAATATTCTGTTTGGCCTCTCAATATTTTATGTCGCGGAATTGAATTTTAAGATGATAGTTCCTTTCTTTTTACATGATTTGGGATATACAAAACAAGATACAGCTTTTTTCCTGTCCATGACTGCTGTGTCGGACATCTTGGCACGTGCCGTGCTGCCACCTATATGTGATAGAGTGAAGATAAGGAGGAGGACACTTTTTGCAATAGCCTCCATCTTTCTGGGCATCTCCCGATCAGGTAATTTGAAGTGCGATTATAAAACCTATAAAATATATAAACTTCAAATTAGCGGTTTATTTTACTGTCCTGTAATGTTACAGTGCTTGCGGAGCAGACTGAATATACGGCGCTGATGGTAACGCTAGTGATAAGTGGATTCTTCAGGGGTGCTACATTAATCAACTTTATGCTCACTATATCTGAACACTGCAGCCTGGAAAAGTTGCCTGCAGCATTTGGACTCCACATGGTAGCGAAGGGTTTGTTTATTGTGGCACTGGGCCCCATCATAGGTAAGAATAAGTGTCGAAGAAGAAGGATCAGGTTCTCACAATGTTTAGTGTCTTCTGGGATGCCCCAGTTTGGTGTTTCTCGATCTGTAGCCTTCCTCCCATACGAGGAATTAAATTCAGTTCCACGCGTGGAATCCGGACTTCGGTTCGGTGCACGCGTTAACACGGCGTGCTTGTTTTGTCATCACCGCCGGTGTTTCTGAAGCTGCAAGAAATCTGTGAAGTCCTTTCCTCCCATGCTCGCCATACTCGGTAAAGAGACGTGGCCTGACGAGGTGTTATTCTGTTCGTTAACCGTGGAGCTAAAAGGTGAAATATTTCAGCTTCTGTGTGCGGTCACATACTTTCTCTTGTTACAGTAATAATTATTCTAACGCAGTTTCATCACGTGTATCCTCCATTTTACAAGCATTTTAATGACCAAAGGTGTCATTTTGTCTTTAATTTTGATACAAACCCACTTATAAAAAATTTCTCGATTAAGACAAAAAACTATCGTTCCACGGACGAGCCGTAACGAGAGTTCGATCGTAACTTAAAAAAACATTCATGAATATTTTTTCTTATTTCTGAAATGTTGTAATGAATCAGTTGGTGTAAATGTTTACATCATTATGTTAATATTTGTTTCGGTGTACCCGCAGGTGTAATCCGAGATATATCCGGAAGCTTCCCGCTGTGTATCCACTCTCAAACGCTGCTGATCTTCATATGTCTAGTAGCATGGAGTATAGAGTATGTCGTCACGAGAACATCTTCCAGTACCAATCAAGATAATACGGATAATACAGACAATACGTAACGTGTCATTATATGCAAGTCTCATATCAGACGCAATTTACAAGGATGGTAGCATTGCTGAGAAGGATCTCCTATATTTATTTGGTTAAGTATAAGAATCGCGCCTTAGATTCGTCGCTGCAGCGAGAATATTCTGAGGTGGCCCTTGAATTTCAGAAATAATATTCTGTGCCGTTATGGGTGGTAAAGCGACACCTAGGTTAATGTTTCTTTGATTTAACTGCGGTCGCGTAGAGCACGGCAGGTGAAACGTGTACAAATCCACACAGTGTGTAACTTAAGAGGTGCGGCCAAATATTGAAGGTGCGTTCTACACCTGGAAAAGCGTCCTTTCCAATTTACAGCCCCATTTTCTTTGAGCATAAATTAAGCTGTAATAAAAATAATTTATAGAATTTGAGAAAGTTTTAATATTTGTCTTCCGCTAAACTCATGCATTGCTTCTCGTAATACCAACTCGTGCAGTTGTGTTTCTCGGAAGTCTGAGGTTATATTTATTTAATTATTAATTATTATAATAATTATGATAAAATTTAAAATTGTGTTGTGAATTGTTAATCATTTCAGTAAATACCCTGATGAATGGTTGGCAATATTTTTATATCAGGAAAATTCCATACGACCTTGATTTGAAGATGCCATTCATTTAATGTGCACCCTTTTATTAGGGATAAGCTCTCAGGAATTGAGACGTTATATTGATTCTTAGATGCCATGATGTGGAAGACGCATGGCAATTTTAGAAAATGTAGAATGTGAAAAAATTTCCTAAAATCAAAGAAATATGGTATCTTGAGTATGGAAGAACGTTATGATCGTCAGACTGGCTGAATAATGAGTAGGTTAAATTAATTATGGTCCAAAGATTTTAAAGTATATTTTTCATTACATGAGTCATGGCTGTCGAATATGCAGATACGAAAGGGTTATATTTATATATTAAAATACTTACAAATTCCTAGAGTGTCAGAGCATATAGCAGAGTAAATCTAATGACGGTAAAAGATTTGTTAAAATATAGTCCAACATTGGAGAGATTAATTTAAAATTACCGTAACGTCATAGTTTCTGTTCTTTATCATCTGATTTCTATGTCGATACATCTCTAAGGCGTCAAACAATGTGAGAGGTGTAACTCATCGCTACTGTTTTATCATTTTTATAAATAAATTTAATTTATTTTTCTCTATTAAATGAGTTTCATTTAAAATTTTCAATTAAAAGCTGATTTTCTAAGCATTTCACATAATTATAACTTATAAGCTTTAACATTTATTAACTGAGTGTGATAAAAGATGAAGTTTTTTGATTTTCTTTTTTTAAGAAAAACAGATGATGGATTAGCCCAAAAACTTGATAATCCAGATCAAAACTGATTTTCCTAATGTTTTTTGTCGAGTCACAGAATTTATTCATAGTCGAATAAATCTGTCATCTTTGATACAATTTGATCTCTGACGTTTGTGAGTGACACTTGAATTATAATATTGAGGGGATAATGTTAATTTAGCCTTATTGAATAAAGATCTGACGAACTCTTGGGGGGGGGGGGAATTTTTAATTCTGTACGCCACAACCCACAAATAAATATTTACATAATTAAAATTCTCAGAAGTCTGTATGATGTAGGCATTAAAATTTAAGTGCCACAGCAGACTTTAATAAAACTTTTCAGTTTTACATTACCAAATCAGTTCCTTGCGAAGACGCTGCCACGTCACATTGAAGATAAGGCCACGGTTTCATCTTCCTTGCAGGAGCACCCCGGTTACAGCTTCAGCGAACTCCGAATCGACAGATACGTGACAGAAAGTGCACTCTGAAATGGCGTACATCTGCCATGTAACTGTGAGGTAAGGGTTCATCGCTAAGAGGTTCGGAAACGTCCTTTAATTTGAATATCAGGACATTTCACAGGTACCAGACAAGGTTTTACGTACCAAAAGATAATGTCCTCAGGAGATCAGAGCTGTTTTCTGGGAAGTGTTCGTGTATTATTCTTATTGCTTTAAAAATACGGATTTATGTTCCAATTTTAACACCAGGTCAGGTGTTTGTTAATTAAAGGTAATATAAAATAAAAATCAGGAGCATAACATCTGTAATTTGTGAAAATATGATTACCATCGCCACAGCAATTTGTATTTGACTCGAAATTGTGTCTACCAATCGAATGCATTGAGATCTGTTACGTCTGCCCACTCACAAGATGCGTTCGTTTACGAGTTATGGATTACACGTTCTCTTGCTTGCGACATAACGAGAGGCCTTGGTTTTCCCAGCCCTTGTCATTTTCCTGATACTCAACATGTGAAGCCTCCAAGTTCCTCTGGAAGCCAGTTCCCTCCTTCGTCCTCTGTACGACACTCATTTAATATCTACCCGTGCAGAATTTGCTCCTGTTAAATCACCGTAATACGTTAAGAAAGCATCCACTAAAATATGGGATCTTCACGATTAAGGACTTTCTGCAGGGGCCTTCCTCATTTATAATCCACGGGGTGGGGGTGCCCAAATAATTTATCCTCTCAGGAGCAAAGTTTTCTACTAAATATTCAGTGAAATGTTTGTCATTTTGCACTGAATAGAAGCTTTTGTTTTATGGGACCCTCAAATATGTTAGAGGTATCTAAAGAGAGACTGCCATTCTGCGATACCCTTTGGGTCAGTTTCCACTGCATAAGAATACATGTATTTTCTAACAGGAAATACATATTTTTATAGTTTTGTTACCAGTGGTGGTAATATGTTCATGAAATCAATAAATATGACCCTTCCCTTGATGTGTTAACACTTCTGGGAATTAAATTTCACTTTAATACCATTTATTTTTCCTTTCAGGACTATAGCTTTAAGTTTACAGACATTTCTGCTGGAATTAAATTTGTGCTATTTGACCACTGCAAAGCTAAATATTTGGTCTGTGAGTAATAATTAATACACACACTCTCAAAGAGCTTCATTTTGCCACACATCACATGTTTATTCAGATTTACAACAACAACAAAATTCCCGTTTCCCTCAAAATCGTTATGAAATGGAAATAAATAGGTAAGTAATAATCAAGTTTGATATTAAGTGTGACCATGCATAACTGCATAAATGCTGGTCTTAACCTGTTGTAAACCTTATTGAGTTTCCAAGTTACAACAATAGATAAATTGGTTTAACAACGTCACAGATGGAAATCGCTTCTTGCCCATTGTTGCGCAACATCACATGTATGATAAACACCTAGCAATGATATGATCCTGTTTACTAAGCGGTTGAGTAGTTGGTACTGTCGAGAGCGGATCAAGTGTTATTGATATCAAGAGTACATCTATTTTCGGTAATTAATTTATTTTATTTGTCTTTCTTTTTAGCTTATATTTTAAGAATAACTAAAATTTCATGTCTGTGTTTGAATAGTGCTTAAGAAAACGTGTAATTAAGTGTGTTGACGGAACACTTTAGCTGGTATTTAGAGTCTCGAATTTAAATATTTTATATGTGCAGTTCTTGAGAAAAGAAGATATCAGGTTTTGGCTATTATTGGATTTACCATTTAGGCCCCTAAATGAAATATTTAATATAAAACGTTTTGTATTGCATTTTCATATTATGGCGGTTCGTATCGTCTATGGTACAGAGGTTATGTTCTACGGGCCATATTGCTGAAAGCAGTGATGAGTGAATTATGGCTGTCTTTTTAACTCTCAGATACATGAAACGTATTTATGAATTAAGCTTTTAAATCATAATAACATCCGGAATATTGGGCAGCAGAACTTCAGTTGTATGAAGTTTGAGATACCGAATTATTTAAACGTGTTGCATATTGAAGGCTAATAGTGAACGAAAAGGATTCCATACTTGTACTGCTGAAAGACTTTGAAATGGAAAACTGCAGAGAGTTTTCTACTCTAAGTGAAACAAAGTTGAAAGTGAAAAAGTGCCTGGAGAATGAAGAATCAATGAAAATGACGTTACAGAGAACTAAGAAGATGAAGGTTATGTGGGTTGTGGGGACGTGTTGTCTGGTAGAAGTTTACCAAAATTTACGAGGTCCTTGCTGCATCAGTCATCAAGGCTGTGTCATTTTCGTAGTCATTGCCGCAAGAAACTCACATTCTACTTATAAAGTATTGCTGGATTGTTTGATGTGGGTAGTGATATGACCAAGACTTGAAATTTGTTTTGCTGTTAGCTATTTGAGTAGATTAATTGGAAGCATCCGACGTTTGTGTTATTTTATTTAATATCCACTAGATTTTGAATCAACACACGATAAACAGAAGTAGGATGGTGTTGTACATAGTTTTGTGGATATTGACTGGGTTGATGACCTAATGGACAGTTAGTGTTTTTTAGGTTATGTATTCGGAGTGTTCAATGGTGTTATGTCATGGGGTGATAAGAAACAGCCTTCATTAGCTTTATCAACTAAAGATGAGTACATGGCAATTAATGCAGAAATGTGTGAAGTGCTGTGGCTTGAAATTAGATGTGAGAGGTCTAATATTAGTTTCTGGAGACATCTTAGGATGCATTAATTTGGCAGCTACAACTGACAGCCGAAAGACTAAACATGTTGATGTAAGATATCATTTCATGATGAAAATTTATTAGGAAATAGGATATGTTTAATAACTGTAAAGAGTGTAGCCAATTTGGCAGACATTACAACAAAGGGAGTATTATGGACATGTTTTGAAAGCTTGTTTGAATAATTGAAAGTGTATAACTTCACACCTTGATTGAGGAAAATAGGTTAGTACAATTACTCAAAGTGGAATGCTAGAAAACTGGTCTGCACATTGCTAAGGATGGCCATACCAGAAGCTGTTTCTTACAAGATTAATCATCATATTTGTAGCTGTGTGGTCTCGGCTATTGACAATCATTAATAAAGCACACAAAATTTATGACATATGTTCATATTTCCATCTGGTAGATATTAGGGTGTTAAATGCAAAAATTAGTACATAATAAAATTGTATCTAGAAACTAAACTAAATGGTTACAAGCATACGCTAAACGTAATTTCTTTTGAAGTTTGTTTAATTTTGACTTGATACTGTTACATGGAGCATCAGGATATTTCATGAGATTTTTACAGCATAGATTGCTGTTTGTGTTGGTGCATTTGTCAGCTACATTTTTGCTTTTAAGTTTACAGGCATTTGGCAATTTTTAAGTAGATCATGTAATTAAGTTATACTGACAGCAACTTCACAGATATCTCAGTGGACCACCATTCTTCCCTAATGAATTGAGGTTCTGTGTGCAGATTACTTTGTCTTCTGTAATTATTTTAATAATAGTATTAAAATAAAGGTATTTTAGGTCAGTGTTTTAATTATAATTGTTTGTTACAGGATAAAGCAGCCATATCAAAATGATCACCTTCTTTGTAGCGCCCTATTATGACGAAGAATCCTCGGAGCATGAGATTAGTGACGGCTGTTTTAAGGTTAGAACTAACCCTAAGGTTTATTTTTTAGTATGTGTCGTATAAGAACAGGGTTTGTATCTTTCGGCCTTACCAATATTTGTGTTCTGTAAATCTGCTCTGCATACTGTGAAATAATTATTCACCCGGCCGTTTTAATGATAAAGTTTCGTGGGCATAAATGTCAGTTATGAACAAAATTATGATCACAGTGAATCGCATACGTTGTCACCAACAACATTGTGGTTGTTAACTAGCAGAAATATAGTGGCTGAGGAAAAGCATGCTAATTTAAAGAAATCTGAATTGAAAAAAATAGAAGTGCTAATTTCTTATGGCAGTCTAAAAATATGTTGCCATTACCGAAGGAATTTATTTAAAGTGAGCATAATCTGTACTGTGATGATGAAATTACTTTTTTAACATCACATTGTTATAAATGTACATAATACTTTCTTTACAACAAAAATTAGGTGTCTGACATTTCGTAATTCTCATACTCGAAGTGATGTAAGCGTGCATCTGGTGTCTTAAAGCCAGTTATTTATTGTCTCATTCTATTTGTCCATATGTGGGTTTTCTCTGCCTTCCATTAACCGTTATATTCTATGTTAGATATCCGTTAAGCCGAATTTGACCAAAAATGTGAATTTTCTGAGTCGCGTGACAACTGAGGAAAAAACGGAGCAGGAAGATCTTATTTCGCTGAGTACGTTACGTTCCGTCACACGCTAATCATTCAGGTAAGGGTTAGTGTTCGAGTGAAGACAAATTTTTCAGCTTGAATCCCAGTGCCTGCCAAATTTCTTCTTTTAATTATTGCGTTATATTCGCACAAATACAAACTAAAATTTTGCATGTGCGTATTATGTATCTGTATGTTTCAAAATGTCACCTCATGGCAAGAGCAATTCAGATTGCATAGCAGAATATACAAATTGCTATACACCGTGTTTCAAAAGTAGCTTAACAAATTCGCAGGAGAATATAAATGTATTTAAAGGATGTGCGCAATATTTTTAAATTCACAAATTTAGGCAAACACATCAAGTTTCATGCACATAAACTGTAATACCGAAAACCGCAAAGATAAGTATATGGCCCCTTCTTTTTCATGTTGAAGACCATTACTGGCATTGTGTATCTGGACATGCTCCAACAGTTCCTCATTCCTCAACTTGACGAAGATGACCAGGAAGGACGCAGCCACTTCCAGGAAGACGGTGCACCCCTCGTTACCTCGGAGAAGTGTACGAGTACCTCAACAACCGTTTCCCAGGTCGGTGGATTGGTTGGACCGCACCAATAGCATGGTCGCCTCGTTCCCCGGATCTAACACCTTTAGATTTTTTCTTTTGGGGATTTGTTAAAGATCAAGTGTACATGACACCCTTACCTGCAAATGTGGAAGAATTCCGAACTCGAATCATCGCCGCAGTTGCTGAATTGACACTGGAGATGCTACACCGCGTGTGGCAAGATTATGACCACAGATGGGACGTCTGCCGAATAACAAATGGTAGTCACATTGATCCATAAAAATCCGATGGACGTAGAACTCGAAGCGTTTGACTACATTTCAATGTTCTGAAATTATATGTTTCTCCTATCAGTTCACCAATATCTCGCCCTCAAGTTGTAAAGCTACTTTTGAAAGACGCTGTATTTGAAATTAAATGTCTAATTGTTGCCTTTCTGTAAATCATACAGAGTCCATTGACTTTTCATTAATGAGAAATAGGTAACCATCGTTATGATCATCACCGTTTTATGCGTGCCGCATTGGCGAGGCTAGAAGTACGACGGAGGCAGGTATTTCTTTTATTTTTTCTTGCTGTGTTATATAAATCACTGGAATTTTGATGCCAGCTGTGCCCTTATATCACTTCTGGTGTGGGAATTTATTTATATTTCCCTTGTTCTGTTCTGTTGATTTTATATTTTGCCTGCTATAATCATTATGATGCATGAAGGTATTGATCGAGAAAACTATTTCAAGGAACTGACTCTTTATTTTTGTCCTGACCAGGTGCCGAAATTGCCGCCATGGAAGAGACGGCGATGCACGGTCCGCAAAACACCTATTCTACCTGCACATTGCTCCATCATTGGTTTTCCAGAATTAGGTAAGGTATCTTGTTCAATTTCAGAAGCGACATGCGAACACGCTGTCTTTCGCCCCACATTAACACAATTTTAAATGTACGCAGGTAATGAAACTGTGTGTCGG